AGAGAGAGAGAGAGAGAGAGAGAGAGAGAGAGAGAGAGAGAGAGAGAGAGAGTATGCTTGTCTGCAGTATGAGTACGTTTGTCAGTCTGACTGTGTGTTTGCCTTGAGTGTGTGTGCGCGATCGTAAACTTAAGCGTGGGAGTTACTTTTGGTGTGCCCCGTGACGGCCCGTGCTTGTTCGACAGGCCATCAGGCCCGGTACTTACCTATTGTCGTTACTTGCAGGGATTGAATTATGTAAAATTTGGTTTCCTTAGTGTACATAATTTTCGTCTTCTTATAATCCTCGATCTCTCATTTGAAGTTCATTTATTTTTTCTTGCAATTGTATGTCATTGTACCATTGGCAATGTAGTCTGAGCGATTCTAATCCTCGCTCTCGCCACTCAAGTTCATTCATTTACTGTTGCAACTGGATGTCATTGCAATATTGGATCAACGTGAAAATTTGAATTGGTTCGGCTATATAATGTGCGATCCAACTATTGCCTAAGTGCAAAAGCATGTGAAGTATGGATGTATGTGTAACTCGACATTGGTCCAATAATATCTATACGCAGAGGAGGGGGGGGGGGGGAAATACCAAACACAAGACATGAGATACCATCAGATGTGTGAGAAAAAAATAATAATAATATATATATATATTTATATATATATATCACTTGGTTGTCTGATGATTTTTTTCGGCGCTCACACACAGACATTCTCAAACACGGTCACACATGCATAAGAACAGGGGGATACGATTTTGTTTTTTAAACAACCTAACCACCCATACAATATAAAACACGCCCACACATGCATAACAAGAGCGGGAGAGGTGACAGAGTCAAAACTGCACACAGACAAGGATAAGCAGCGGAATTCAACAATGCATACATGGGGGAGGTCACACAATTACTCTCACTCTCCGACAGACTCCCAACAAACAATCACAATAAAGAACCTCAGCAAAATCACAATTGATATGATGTTGATAATGAGTCAACTCGAACGAATATCATAATACAGTTTGTTACAGTCGCTTCGTCCCCAATCGATTTCCCTCATTCTACTAATAGAGTACAATACTCTAACCTACACGTAGACCGGAATGACTAACCGACCAATACCGTTGCAGTTTCGTCCTCTCGGCCTCTACCGAACCCGACTATAGGCTATAGGACCGTCCATCAGCTCTGGCCATTAGGGCCTGTCTGTCCTGGGGGTAGTCCGGGCCTGCAATTCGCAGTAAATGTACGTATAGGAAATTCAAAATAATGTTGGGCCTATGTTTCCCATATTACAGATGTGGCCCTCACGAATTTTCCTCACAGATTGGTCTCACGGTTACGGCCAAGTCAAACGAAACTACAAATCTAACACTACGGGGTAGTATACAGCCTCGCCATCAGTCTTCGCAGTCAGACTGAAAAAAAAAAAAAAANATAAATATATATATATATATATATATATATATATATATATATATATATATATATACAATGAACACGTCAAACTAAAAAGCCAACAAACATAAAAGTCGCATGTACAAGATACTACGACATAACATAATGTAAGTCGTCGAACAACTCGACATCATCTGCGTCCGATAGAGAATCGCATGATCGATCGAACACGGCATCCGCCGGTCCAGGCAATAGATCCCCGTCGCCAATGATGAAAACATCGTCATCCCCCACAACGTCGGGTTCCGCACCTGAAGCAACGTCGTCCTCGTCACGAGCAATGGTATCCTCGCCTCTGCAAAAAAAATCGCGAGGCAGAGGAGGTGTCGAGGACCCGACCTCGCCTGACACATCACAGTCGTCGTACTCGAAAAGGCGTCGAGCCCTATCTGAAACACATTTTGAACCGAAGATGAACGTGGACAGTCGATCCATCCACGAATCGGTAGGTGGCCGATTGTGACAGTAGTGGCTCGGCCTTTGACGAATCGAAGTCCCAGAAGGCCTGCGGACACGATACTCCAAGGGATCCTGCCATGCATGATTGTTCCATCGAATGACTGCAATCGCCAAACGCGGCTCATACGATTTCTCGAAGTGCAAGGCCTTCTTCGCGTAAATGATGATTGTGCCCTGGAAGGTCTCAACCGTCGATGTGTGACGGAACTCCGTGTAGTACGAACAAACTGTCGTGCTGGAATGTCTGCCCAACGTCTGGCGAATGATGTCATACACGGGGTCGTCGTGCGTGTACAGAGGCAGTCGAGATGGGTCACCCGCCTTTGAGCATAAAAGCTCTCTTTCCGCAACGCACCTGGAGTGGTCCCCGGCCCAATGGTCGGCGATCATCATTGTGCTGAGTGACAAAGTCGCCGCCCTCATCTCTGCAAAGCTGGGAAGCACGAATAAACCAATGCCCCACCTCATGCATATGGAACTTAGTCACACCATCTGCATCCACGACCAAGGATTTGTTGTTTTTCATCATGCCGTACGGGTACATTTTGCTCATCACAAGAGCAACGAAGTTGCTCTTCTTCAATCGTTCTTCTTTTGCCGTCAAAGACCCTAGTCCATAACGTTCCGTCAAGGCATCCAACAGCTCCTTCGTGAACTGCATAAACTGAGATTCCGACACGCACTGATAAGGGTTGTTCAATTTCTTTGGCACCTTCCGTGTCACGACTTTTCTAAGTGTCTTGCGAATGTTTTTTACCTTATGATGGCAATCCTTCCCATTCAATACCCAGACGCTCCAACAGTGGACCCAATGCAACACAATCGTCGGAGACAACACACCGGATCTTCAACCCCCTCGACAGCAGGCCTCTCAACAGGCACACAACAACAGGAACCTCAAGTTGGTTCGACGCCTTTCCCTCATATTTTGGCCGAAGAGTGTGAACACCCACCACAAGACGAGTATCACACTCAATCGTGGTAACAGTGCAATGCTGCGCAGACCTGGCTGAGTCGTAGCGACCGTCAACCATCAAAGTGACGGGTCTCCCTGATCGCATAACCGTGTCAATGGTCAAGTCGCAATACCGCACGCTCTGCCTGACAACCTTTGCATTCCAACCCTCACGAACATTCGGCTCACCTCGCATGCAACTGTAAAGAGTGGGCTTGTGCACAGGTGCCACCCCAAACGCGATGCAGAAGTCATTGAGGATGGTATATGTCATACCCGCAGTGACGGTCGCATGGAACAACTGCTGCTGAAGTCTGCAAGAGTACACAGCTCCCCCAACCAGTGCACTGTGCCATGTCCAACGACATGACTTCTTACAAGCGAGCGAAATGCGACAAATCTGCCCAGGATAACTGACAGAGGACACATCCACAGCACAAGCGCCCCCGTGGCGCGGGCAACTCAAATCGAACAAACCCGAGCAACTGCAGCAGCTTCACCGGCTCCACGAAGACGACATTAGGCGCTTCCGAGCCTCCCCAGTGCCCCATCGATTTCAACATTTTTAGACCGATTATTGCGAGGTCCGCTTTGCAAAGCACCATCCCTCGAATCGTCCCAGCACAAAGGACGTACATGTTCGAAATGCGAACGCGACCTGCCATGGCTTGGTGGCCGCCCGCATGATTTGCGGCCACGCTGTGACCCGTGCCCTGAACGCGGCACTGAATCATCCGTCCCACAAAATGACCCGCCATTGCCTCCACCGCTCCCTTCACCCTCACGCTCGCCATCATCCTCAGCGTCCGCTGTCGAATCATCCCCTCCTGCTCCGAGACGAAACACATCTGCACGACTGTCGGCTGGTAAAGTTTTCTCGATCCTCGACGCCACACCGTCCCCAAACTCTGACCGGATGGCTGATAATGACCAATGCAACAGTCGGTCGACGACATCGCTCATGACCCCAGACTTGTCGCTCACTTCTTTCATCGCAGATTGTAAAAGGCGCAGTCTCTCCTTGCAAGCGGTAGTCAAGAACAAACGAGAGTACTTCGCGGAACCAGTTGACTGCGAACCGAATTGCCCCAAAGACCCGCCCGAGTGTTCAGAACGACTCGCACCAAGATTTTGAGCGCCAGGATCGCAACGGCCGGGTCCATTTCCGCTACCACACACAATGTCATCCTCATCGAACCGGGAGACGAGAGAGCGACGGGCGGAATTACGGTCATGTGTGTCCCCGACAGAGGCACGACGTGCATCATCCAATACACCCCCCTGCCCATGACCTGATGCGGCGAACGAATGTGAGACCTGCAGCTCTACACTCTGACGTCCTCTGTCGCGCAGTGTGGACCCTCCAATTCCAAACACCGCTCCTGATGATTGAGAACACCAACAAAAAAAATCCGTTTTTCAAATATTAAGATATTTAACCTTCTTGCCTTATTTAACTATTGCCCAAGTCGTTTACACACAGTTTTTTAACATTAGAAGGTTTAATCACGTTGACCAATAAACACACAATGAAGAACTGTTGCTTCAACTCATTAAACGTTATATCTGTTGGAGAGACCCATGAAGCAACCACTTGGTCAACATTCCTTCAACAATTTGCAAGTGTTCGACTAACTGTTCATCAAATGTTGATTTAACACCATCTTCAACACGTGAGAACGTTGGAAAGATTGTTGGAAAACATAATGGAATGTTTGAGCAACGTTGAATATCATTTAAAAAATAATAATAATAATAACAATGAATTGTAATATATATATATCGATATACATATATATAAATATATTTATATTTCTGACCACTATTACATATAATAGAATAATATGCATAGACAAGTGTCATGGAGTTTTCGTTATATATAGGTATAGTGTGTCTCTCTCCGTCTCTCTGTATGACCATCTCTTGGTCTCATTCCCCTAAAACAAAACAGCGTTTTAGTATATAGTTGTGAATACAACACTCATTACATCATTTAGAGGACTGTGCACACAATTCCTGTTACATGCTTGGTAACAAATATCAGTTTGCATATACCAGAACCGAGAAATGGTCCGTCATAATTAGCCTGAGATTGGATAACAAGCGCCCTCCTCCGTTCCCCGTGAACTTTTTCTTTTGTCATTTGACCTTTCACTTCTATGTTTATGTCACCATGCTAGCTGCCTCCCTCTATAGAATCCTTGTCTGCCTTTCTGTTCTTATCCGGAATACCATCTCTGTGTGTGTGTGTGTGTGTGTGTGTGTGTGTGTGTGTGTGTGTTACCATATTTAGCATAACCACCTGTCAAACATCCAATACCTCCGAAGAACGTACTCTCCCTCTTTCTCTCTCTCTCTCTCTCTCTCTCTCTCTCTCTCTCTCTCTCTCTCTCTCTCTCTCTCTCTCTCTCTCCAATGCGTGGATAAACTCCCCGTCGTGCGGGTGGTGATCCTCTCTTTCAACAAAGACGTTTGCTACCATATTTAGCATAACCACCTGTCAAACATCCAATAACTCCGAAGAACGTACTCTCTCTCTCTCTCTCTCTCTCTCTCTCTCTCTCTCTCTCTCTCTCTCTCTCGCTCGCTCGCTCGCTCGCTCGCTCGATGAACTCCCCGTCGCGGGGGTGGTGAGGCTCTCTTTCAACTACGGCGTTTGTTACCATATTTGGCAAAATAACCTGTCAAACATCCAACTACCTTATGTCTAAAGACTCTCTCTCTCTCTCTCTCTCTCTCTCTCTGTCTCTCTCTCT